GCCCACGTCACTTTGGCAACGAGTGCCGGCAACAGCTCTGCCTGACCCACCAGCTGCAGATTGCCAGATGTACTCCACTTGTGGACGAAGCTCTGCGGAATTTCTTCGCCGAAGAAGAGGCGCAAGCCCGAAGCGGGGTCAATCAGCACCCGCCATGCGTCGTCAAGCACCCGTCCTCCTTGTGGGCCCCGTCGGTGACAGTCACGACAGGTACCCCACCAGTGCCAGCACGGATTTCGCGAGAGCGCATGTCCTCGAGCAGGTCGATGGTTCGTTGTAGCAGAGTGCAGTCCTCGTTGTTGAGCTTCAAGATGTCCCCGCCCGCCAAGTATCGCGACAGACACTTGACAGCCATCACAGCAACGCGGCCAAATGTGTGGGTCGAAGCATACAAAAATCTGCCCTTCAAGCTGGCCAGCACTGCATGCTGAACGAAGCCCTCGGCGCATACCGAGTTTACCAGCGACCGCAATGCCTGCAGCCTGCCTCCCTTGTTGGAGATCTCCAGGATTCCCTGAAGGGTCTTGATTAACGAAAAGCTCGCTCCCAGCATGCTGAAGACCTTGAAAAAGGTAAACATTTCTTAGGGTCCTCAGCGATGTGGCACCCCAACAGTGACAAAAGTCATCATAGAAACTTGTCACCACCATTTGGACGATCTTGAGCAATATGCTCCTCAACGTCTTCGCCACTCGATTCAAAGCTGCAACCGAGTGCGCTGCACCAAAAGGCAAAGTAGCAAATCGACAATACTGATACTGCTGTTCGTCCGGTTGCCAAACCGCCAGAATGCTCGCCCCAGCCATCGCACGGGGCGGAAGCGAGTCGCTCATAAGCGGATTTCAGGTCCAGGGTCCGGCCCACTATTTGTCGTTGGCCAGCTTGCTTCCTCGATGCCACAGCTTCGAGAAACTTGCGAGCAGTATGGGCGTCAACGTCGATATCCTGCAAACTATTTAGTCGGTGGCTGTGCACGTGGCATTGCCCAAGGAAGCTCTGAGGTCGTCGATAGCTCGAGTTCGGTCTTCTTGTTGCACGCCGAACAGCCGCCCAGCACCATCCTGAGCTCGCTCCAAAGCTTCCTCCCAAAGTCCTTGGGCGACCTCATCTGCTTCACGGATAGCTCGAGTTCGGTCTTCTTGTTGTACGCCGAACAGCCACACAGCACCATCCTGAGCTCGCTCCAAAGCTTCCTCCCAAAGTCCTTGGGCGACCTCATCTGCTTCACGAGAGTCAGGCTTCCTAAGCATACCGCGGATCCAAGGTGACGCCTGCCTCAAATCATGCTCAAACAGCGAAGCAGGCTTCAAAGAGACCGGGATCTGACCACTCGGCTCGGCATAACCTAGAATCCTAAACCCTTCGCACACTTGTCGCAAGAGCGTGTCATCCTCCACACCAGCCGCCAAGGCAAGTTTCCGGAAAAGCAGCAGTCTTTTGCCCTTCAAAACCCGACCCACCTCAAGATTTAGGGATCGATGAAGAAGCTCTTCATCTTTTCTGAGCTCGGCCTCAGATTGAAGGAGAGCTTTCAGGGTATTGGTTCAGAAGGGCCG